CTCCCCCGCCCCCACTCCCACTCCCCAAATCCAAGCAGTCAAGCCCACCCCTGCAGAGCGCAGTTTGGGCAATGACCGCAATCCCTCCTTACTTAACGTTAGAACGTTAGAACCCTATACTATGCTGTTGCCACACCGTTTTGGGAACAGGAGTAAGGTCTAGATGTGATGCTTCCGTCACTGGCTCTCTTGAAGTCGTTGTGCTTAGTGTGTTCCTGTTCCTTGGGGATCATGCAGGGTTTTCTTAGTTCTTAGATGCATTCGCCATGTATGGATGCTCGCATGCCCAACCGTGAGGTTCGTAGGCATGCCTTCCGACCTCATCGAGGCGGGCACCAGCACCACAAATGTTGCACCTGATGAGCCAGAGAAATCTAGTTTGACAAAGATAACAATCCCACATGTCTTTTAGGAATCCTCAGTGTTGCTGTTGGATGTCTTGGTATTTAACCCATGTATAGGGATCAACGGCGTAAACCAAGTGAAGCATCAACAATCCTGAATAATAGCCTTAATAGTAGCCATGCAGTGAAAAACCACACTTTCGGATGCTAACCCTCTCTTTTACATGTGCTGCAGGTGCCAGGTTTTTGAAGGTACCAAATCCTGGTTCTGCAAGGTTTGAGCTGAAACCGCTTTTCTTCCGATTGGTTGATAATTGGAAGATTGCACCGGCATCCTTTGCGGAGGGCTTCGAATATCAGAGCTACTGAGTCGCTTTACAAGTTGCCATTCCTTGGAGTCCAGAGTGTCCAAGCCATCGAAGCCCCAAGCTGCAAGGTATCAGCAGTCTAAGTTCCAGGCTGGACCCCGCATGCTAACGTGTCTTTAAGCATTATGTAAGGAGAGCAGTTTTTTGAAAGAAAAGCGCCTCACCTGGGTTTGTTGCATGCAAAGCGTCCATGATACTGTGCCCGAACGAGAGCGACGTCCATGTTACCAGCACATCCATTGGCTAGAGCACAAAAAGCTGAAAGCGCATCCACTGGCCAGAGCGTCCATGCCCAACGATCCTTGCACCATGAATCCGCCAACCCGCAACACCGAAAACGCGCCTGCAAAAACATCAACAAGAACGCTCGCTCTCAAGCAAAATTCCAAATTCACATGCCAAACAAGACTTAAAAAACAAAGAAGCAGCAGACTCAACACCCTAAACTCCCAACCCGAAGTCGATGCTGAATGAGAGTGAGGCGCTGAAGCCGGGAGATTTGGTGGACGGCTTCCCAGAGGAGAGCAGATGCAGAGCTTTAGGCTGTCAAAGGTTTGGCGACTCAGGGGTCGGATGAGCACAAAAGAAATTCAAGACCGTGTGAGACAAAGCCCATCGTCCATTGTATGGACTTCGTCTGATGATTCTGATGAGGCGAAGTGCTATAGTGGTAGCAGGCCATTCGCCTTGTACTTGAACCCTAAACCGTTTTTTTGCGACAAGCGCTTGCTCTCTGTCTCTTTGTGTGTGTGTGAGAGGGTGGGTGGGAGGGATGGAGAGGAAGGAGGGTGGGAGAGGGTGGGAGAGGGTGGAGAGGGAGAGGGGGGAGTGGGTGGGAGGGTGGGTGCGTGCGTGGCAGATTGAAGCCAGAATTGCGGTCTGAACTTGGTGGGTGGCGCACAGTGATGGCTGCCTTGGCTTTGACGACAGGACGTTCGCCAAGACATCGGCAACGTGGTGCTGAGTGAGGCGGGGCTGCTGTGAGGCTGACTGCTTCAATGCTTATACACTTTCTCAACGTAGTAGTGTAGACTTGGGCAAGGCATTTCTCAGCTTCTTCACGCTCGCTCGCTCTCTCCCTCTCTCCCTCTCTCCCCTCTCTCCCCTCTCTCCCCTCTCTCCCCTCTCTCCCCTCTCTCCCCTCTCTCCCCTCTCTCCCCCCCTCTCCCTCTCATCCCCTCATCTCCCCGCCTCTCCCCCCTCTCTCCCCCTCTTCCCCTCTACTCCCCTTCTCCCTCCTCTCCCCTCTCTCCCCTCTCTCACCTCTCTCCTCTCCGTCCACTCTCCCCTCTCTCCCCGCTCTCCCCTCTCTCACCCTCTCTCACCCTCCTCATCTCCCCTCTCGCCCCTCTCTCCCGCTCTCCCCTTCTCCCCTCTCTTCCCCTCTCTCACCCTCTCTCCCCTCTTTTTTCATCTCCCCTCTCTCCCCCGCTCCCCTCTCTCCGCCTGTCTCCACGGTCCTCCCCTGTCTACCCCTCTCTCCCTCTCTCCGCCCTCTCCCCTTCTCTCCCCCTCTCTCCCCTCTCTTCCCCCCTCTCCTCCCCTCTCCTCCTCGTCCCCTCTCTCCCCTCCTCTCCCCTCACAATCCCCTCTCACGCCCCTCCTCACACCCCTCTCGCCCTCCCCTCCCCTCACACACCCCCCTCACTCCCTCTCTCCCCGCTCTCCCCTCTCTCCCCTCTCTCCCCTCTCTCCCCTCGTCTCCCCTCTCTCCCCTCTCTCCCCTCTCTCCCCTCTCCACCTCCATCTCCCTCCCCCTCTCTCTTCCGTCTCTCTCCCTTCTCTCTCCCTTCTCTCTCCCTTCTCTCTCCCGTCTCTCTCCCTTCTCTCTCCCTTCTCTCTCCCTTCTCTCTCCCTTCTCTCTCCCTTTCTCTCTCCCTTCTCTCTCCCTTCTCTCTCCCTTCTCTCTCCCGTCTCTCTCCCTTCTCTCTCCCTTCTCTCTCCCTTCTCTCTCCCTTCTCTCTCCCTTCTCTCTCTCTTCTCTCTCCCTTCTCTCTCCCTTCTCTCTCCCTTCTCTCTCCCGTCTCTCTCCCTTCTCTCTCCCTTCTCTCTCCCTTCTCTCTCCCTTCTCTCTCCCCTCTCTCCCCTCTCTCCCCTCTCTCCCCTCTTTTTTCTCTCCCCTCTCTCCCCTCTCTCCCCTCTCTCCCTCCCCTCTCTCCTCTGTCTCCCCTGTCTCCCCTCTCTCCCCTCTCTCCCCTCTCTCTCTCCCCTCTCCTCCCCTCTCTCTCCCCTCTCCCCCTCTCTCCCCTCTCTTCTCCCCCCTCTCTCCCCCTCTCCCCTCTCTCCCCTCTTTCCCCTCCCCTCTCTCCTCTCTCCCCTCTCTCCCCTCTCTCCCCTCCCCCTTCTTCCCCTTCTCCCCCTCTCGCCTCTCACCTCTCACCTCTCCCTTCTCCCTCCACTGTCACACCACCCGCATGTGGCAATCGATATGTAACCTCCATCCAAAGGCCATCTCACCAGCAAGATTCAGTGATGGATCAACGTGCCTCCGGCAAGAATGAAATCAAGCTATAAACTCTAAACCCCAATCAGATGACCAAACAGTCATTCCCCAGCGGCGTCCCAAACCCGAAAGTTTTCGACAGCTCCAAACCCCACAATCTGCACCCCTGTGAAGGTTTGGCTGCGTGGGCATCTTCATGTTCGACTTGCGGGGGAACAGGACCCACGGAAATCCCAACTAAACCCGGCGTTTTAACTGTCAGGGCCCCGTTAGGTTTAGTTAGCGCTATGCGACCCGCCTCGGCCGCACGGCAGCGGCGAGGCAAGCTCGCCACTTGTAGTAAAGCTGGCGTTTCGGAGGTAAGGGAAAAGCGTGGCCTGGGGGGAGGTACAAAAGGGGTGGAGGTGGAGGGCAGGGTGGGGAAACAGGAAACAGGTCGGAAACATGGCAAGGGGTGGGAGTGTTTTGTTGCTCGAGGGCGGGGGAGGAGCAGGCAAGGCAAGAATACAACAAGATGAGGCGATGCCGCCGGCTGGCCCTTTGGAGGGTTAGGGAGAACACGCCGTTGTGCGCCATATGGTCGTCCCCAAAAGCGCCTCGGTCCTGACATTCCTGACGCGGAGTGTCCGTTCCAAGCGAAAAAGTATTGAAAAAGGGCGAACCTGCATACAGGATTAGAGGTTCCCTGCTTCGTGCTTCCCCAGACTCCTACGGCCCGAGGCCTCGGCGAATTCCTAAAGCTTGTTGGTTTGAAGGGCATCGCCTCAGCGTCTGGCAGGATCAACGCCGATGGCACCCGCCGCACCGGATTGCTGCTGTCGGAAAAGCAGAAGCAGGCTCCAGGGCTGCGGGGGCATGACTATTATAGTGACCATAGAGATCTGACTAAGGCCTTATTCGGGCCAAGTTGTCAAGAGCTTCGAGGGTTGCGATATGTGTCAAAGGGCTACGCCTGCAGCGTTGTGAATGCGGTCTTGAAGCATGTCAGCAGGCTGCTCTGTTCCGCTCATATGCTAGTTCCCTCAGAGTCCCTTCCGCGGCTCTGGTTTCAATACGGCCCTTAGCATTCGGCCGCTCAGAACATGCCACGGCGTGGCATCCTGTAGCTGAGCTGTATCGTGGTTATGTTGTCAGCTTTTTCTCGGATAACTTAATTCGGCGGGTCTCCCCCGCTCCCACCAAAAACAGGCTGTGGAAGAGGTCTTCCGAGATTCCGGCCTGCCCTTTGACATGCCTTCATGGAGAGCTCCAAGGTTTAAGGGGTTGCAGAAATTTGTCGGCTGAAGGATGCAAACGCCACTGCACACTACCGAAATCTTGCAGGTGCGCGGGGCAGCGCGGGAAAGAGGCAACAAAACTTTAAAAGAGACCACCGAGGCATCCTAAGTCTTCCAGCCCAGGCGATGCATCATCCTCTGTTCAGAGCTGCCCTACGTCTGGGAGCGCCCGGAGATCATGCGATCGACGCTGGGTTTTGGACCGGCCTAAGGGTTTGGGTCTTGGAGAATGCAAACGTAACGCACCCTGTGAGCCCTGACCCTGCACCGTCTACACCCCCACCCTTGACTGGGGAAAGTCTAAGCACTAGCTTCTGACATATTGACTGCAGTATGGTCTGTGTTCGCCCAGGAAAGCCGCTCGACTGGGCTTTCTGAGGGACCATTGGGCCTACAACGTGAGCGACGCTGGTCTCAGAGCAGCAGCTGTTTCATGATGCTGCACAACCTTGTGAACGCTATGCGAACTCCCCCTAAAGCCGCGCGTACGAACACTGCCCACAAGAGCCTCGCAAACTCCCCAAGTGCCAAGAGCCCGCGATTTGCGACCGGCGATCCATGAAGAGCCATGCCAACCTCGAATCACAAGCGCTCGAATCGCAAGCGCAAGGACCGCAAGGAGGACCTGCCCAGCAAGCCCTCATCCCCTTCACCCTAAGCCTTGGCCCTGATTCTCCGACGGTCCGAAGGACCTGCCCAAAACCCTCAACCCTCTTCCAAGCCGAGGAGCTGACTTGGTTGTTGGACCTTTGCTTCGAGTGGAAGGTGCGGCTGCTTTTTTGGGTTCTTTAGGGGGTAGATACTTAAACCCCTTGAAGCAACCCGAGCCCTAGTAACCCTGAAGCCCCTTAAAGCGCTCCCAAGCGAGGCCGCCTCCTCAAAGCGCGAAGTTCTGCTGCTGGGTGGTGACCTCCACATCTCCGTGTATTCGGCGCGCCAGGGGTCGGGACAGTCGAGTGCCATCTCCGTTTAGGTTCCAGACATTCGGAAGCTTTCGTACAAGGGGATCCCATCAGCCACTAGCCTGTCTTCTCGCCAGCGTGTAGAGGTGATCTATGATGAAGCCACCGGGGGCATGATCCGGCCGCTTTCCACAAGTTAGACTGGGGCCCTCAGCAATGTCCTCGATTGAGTGTCACGGAATTGGAGGTTCATTCTCTCTCTCTCTCTCTCTCTCTCTCTCTCTCTCTCAGCTACCACAGGTCTCTGCATGGCGAGTCTACAGCACCATCTGCGATGTGACCCCTCAGGTGCATCACCACGAGCCCGGTGTCCAACATCGTGAGCCGCTTCTACGCCCACCTGGAAGGGACCATCAGCAGTCGACCCTTGGACCTGAGAGTGCCAGATGTCAGCAGCAGAACACGGATCCTCAAGGGTTCTTCTTCAGTCAGTTTCCCCACGCTGTCCCATGATTGATCCTCCAAGGAGGGAAAACCTGTTTACTCTTCATTCAGACCAACCTGGTGGTACATGATGCTCAAAAACTCAGTGTGCCCCCCCCGGCCCAACGAGAAGCCGAGACCTCTAGAGCAAGCCTCTACTGCAAACCTCTTTTAAACCCCCAATCTCCTCCAACCCCCCAAAAACAAATTGTACTCCCTGTGCCCCCCCTGAACACCCCCATACAACCCAGCCAAGACAGAGGCTATACTTACCGGCATGAGCCGCTTCCGGAGGCCAAGGCGCGAGAGTTTCTTTGGAGGCTTTTCGGGGGGCTTGAGGGGCTTTTGCGGGGTAGTGGGAGGGCTAAGGATGTGAAAAGTCTGCAGTGTTAGATTCCTGAGGCACTCCTGTCTCAGACGTACGCTGCGCGATCCCCAAGCCATGTGTCAGACCTTCTGCAAGATCGAGATCTCTCTGTCGGACGTATCCTGTGACGTGAAGGCCGATGGGCTCTGTGATGAAGCGTTTGAGTAAAGCAACTATGCTCCTCCCCCTTTCAACACCGCACATTCCCACGACAGTCGAGTAGCTTTCGTCTCGCTCCTCCCTCTCCCTCCTTGTCCCCCTCCCTTCCTCTCTCTCTTTGTCTCTCGTTGTCTCTCTGTTCTTTCTCTCTGAAAGCGTAGCTGGCATGGGCAGGGACAGTAGCCACCTGATGAGGTGGCAACCCCTAACCGCCCCCCCACCTGTCGCCTCCGCAACCCTTCATCAGTGGTATTACCACCGTCGCTTTTTTCCGCCCACGATGATTGCGGCCACCACCTCTCGTGCCGTCACAGGAGTTGCAGCAGTAGCAGGCAACCTTCCCTGGCCTTACCTTACTTGGACCCCAAACCTTGCCATTCTGTTGAAAACGTTTGAACCATCGTCATGAAGTCGCGTTTCTGCTGTGTTTTCAGTACACTGTCTTCCCCTTGTGTTTCGCCTGGCCTCGCCCCCACGGGGCACGATGGTGCGGTTCTTCATATACGGATCGAGGACAGCGCAGTCCCCAAACTCGAGTATTTGGGGGTGGATTTTCGCAGGCATTGCAGCTGCAACTTGAATCAACACAGAGGCGATCTGTAGCTTCAACTCAAAGGGATCTTTAGCCATTTTGCAAACAGGGGGACGCTGACGTGGGTGAGGACCTAGAGATTTTCGCGAGCATTTCATGTAGAAATCTACAGCTTCCCGACGAGGGCAGGTCTAAGTTCAAACTACCAAAATGTGTTAATGTGTGCGTGTATATACGTGAGTTATATGTATACAATATATGTGTGTACAATATGTTAGTGTGCGTACGCACTCACCCTCTTCAAGAAACGCTTCTTCATCTCCGGACGGAATGACATCGTTTGCAATTTGTGCAGCTGTTCTACGGAGGGTTGGGAACGCTGCAGGCTGTTGAAGGCAGAGAGTTTCTTGGATACAACACCATAGGCTTCAGAGGTTTTGGAGGTTGGGGTTGAGTTGTAACTTCAGACAGGCGGAGCTTATCTCGCAGATCGCGGCGAAGCAGTCAGGGCCTTTCAGGCGAAACAACACGTGGTACTGAGGGCAGATGGAGACAGGGCCAGGTCTCCACGGCGAGAATGCCGGAATGCAGCAAAGCAGAACCCACACAACTATTGAACTTGAGAGCACTAGCAGTATGTTCTACAAATCGGCGTCGTGGTGACGTCAGTTGTTGCATCTCGAGGCTTAATGCAGCACTCAGGTGGTGGACCTGTCGCCCTCACTCGGTCGAGCCTCGTTCACATGCTCCGAAGTGCAGTCGAGCCTCTCACTCTTCACATTATCGCAGGTGCTCCGAAGTGTGGGGGTTGGGGGGGGGGGGGGGGGGGGTGACGAGCTTACCGCCAACTTCACGGCTTGAAGCTGTCCGGTCACTTAGGATGTGATCAAGGAACGTAGTTGGTCAGTACGACTTCAACACACTTCAACCCTGAGTTCTGCACGACCAAAGTCCCTAGGCGCTAGGCCAGAGGAGGGCAAACATACAGAAAGACACACACACACACACCCACCCACCCACCCACCCACCCACCCCCACCCACACACACACACACACACACACACCACACACACCACACACACCACACACACCACACACACCACACACACCACACACAGCACACACAGCACACACAGCACACACAGCACACACAGCACACACAGCACACACAGCACACACACACCACACACAACAAACAACACACCACACACACACACACACACACACACACACACACACACACACACACACACACACACACACACACACACACACACATCACACACACATACACACACATCACACACACACACACACATCACCAACACACACACACACACACACCACACACACCACACACACCACAACACACACACACACACATCACATGTTCAGGGCACAGGATTAGTCAATGCACAAAGGCCCAACTGCAGTTCGGGTTCACACCGGACGAAAGTTTGTTGAGTTTCACACTGCGCTGGAGAGATTCCTCATGGATGAAGACTTTGCGGTTTTGGGATTGGGGTTTACAAGTTCAGGTCATTCCATGAGCTCTCTCCGCGTCTTTTGATCAGGTCCCACGCCAGGCTTGCAAAGGGTCATGCCAAGCAAGACTCAGTGGAAAGACGAACTGCGGTCAACTCCACGAAAGCATTGGAACTTCTGTTGTAGCCATGTGTTGTAGCTATAGATGCGAAGTAGTTGTCAAGCGTGGACACCGCGGCTCCAGACATTCGCCGAAGAGGGCTGCAACGTTTGTTGCTCTAAGCCACAACTTGCGCAGCTCCCACTCATGACAGCGCTTTGAAACTTGCGTCACAAACCACGTTGTGACCTTTCAACGTCGATTCTTGAGATCTGTCATTGCCCCTTCAATCCTAAACTCCCAAGCCCTCTAGATTCTAAAGCCCTACACCGAAACCGCACAAACCCAAAACCGACCTCGAGACCTAAGCCCTAAACCTCTTAAAGCCCCTTACCGCCCTTACAGCCCACAGTTCTCCTCAATTCCCAAACCCTCTTAACCCAACTCTATAGCTAGAACCACATCCGCGGCCTTCGGAGATTCATTTTGGGTACAGTAGTTCTCTATATTACAGTAGCCCTAAACCCTAAACCCTAAACCCTAAACCCTAGACCCTAGACCCTAGACCCTAGACCCTAGACCCTAGACCCTAGACCCTAGACCCTAGACCCTAGACCCTAGACCCTCAACCCTAAACCCCAAACCCTAGGGCCCCTTCTGGGTCCTGGCGTTTTCCCTTGATGCCTTGCGACGAGGCACAGTCCATGGCAGCCGACCTCGAGGAGCCCCTGGGATACCTGAAAATCATGTCTGGAGAGTAGGGTTTAGGGTTTAGGGTTTAGGGTTTAGGGTTTAGAGTTTGTTTGGGGGTTTTCAGATTGGGGGGTCCTTAGTATGAGACTGCCCTCCTATGGTTAGGACCCAAAAAACATCCTAATATAGAGAACTACGCAGATAGGGACCTTCAGGGGCCTAGTGTTAATCTGGAGTTGTTATGAGCATCGTGAGCATCATGAACATCATGAGCATCAGCACCAGCCCCTGCAGGCCCGCGGCAAAGAGCATCATGGGCATCAGGAGCATCAGTTCCGGCCCCCTTTAGGTTGACTGCAGCAAGCATGATGAGCATCATGAGAACCTGCCCTTCAGGCACACATCCGCGAGCATCATGAGCAGCCGGCGCTGATCTCATGATCGCTTCTGTGCCTAAAGGGCCTGCGGAGATTGGGAAGCCACATGTGGTGGCCGATTCGGATGCTCGCTGTCGTGAACTGAAGGAGGCCGCTGATGCTCATGATGTTCATAAAAAGGCCGGCTGTGATGCTCACGCTGTTGGGCTCAGGGGGGGGGGGGGGGGGGGGGTGGGCGTTGATTCTCATGATGCTCGCTGATGTGCCTAAAGGGGCGGATTCTCATGAAGCTCATGATGCTCGCCGCCGTGGGCCTAAGGGTGAGGGAGCCGGCGCTGCTGCTCCTGATGTCAAGATGCTCGTTGCGGTGTGCCTGCAGGGGCCGGTGCTGATGCTCACGCTCGTGATGCTTGCTCCTGTAAACGTGCAGGGGCCGACGCTGATGCTCATGATGCTCGCCCTTGATGTTTGCTGCACGGGCCCGCGACTGCCATTCTTCATACTGGTAGTATTGGCAGCAGCGATCGTAGGGTTGGTTCAGGGCGCATTGCAAGGATTTTCTCGCAGCCGCGTCTCTGCATCAAAGATCCAAGCATCCTGCAACACAGAGAGGACCTCGTGCTCTGCCCGATCTGCATGCAGCCGAACCTTGGCCGGCACTTGCGAGATGTGCTCCGGGCCTAAGGCTCCATAGCGCTTTGGGTTTAGATTTGCAGCCAGTTCAGGGTTCAGGGGGGCCCAGGGCAAGTCGAGGCTGAGTTGGGGCCGAGGAAAGAGACTGCAAGCCTGGGGGTTACTTTGAGTCACACGCGACGCCTCGTGTGAAGTCGTAAATTGTGTGCACAGCAGGGGAATCCATTTCAAACGAAATCTGCGAATTAGCGCGGGCCTACCTTAGAATTATTTGAAGTTGTATTCCTGCCCTGCTAAGAAGCATGGACCTACACTGAGTATGTCACCTAAATCAATATCTTCGCGCGCACTGTGGGGAAGCCGTCGGCAATCGATTCTAAAACAAGGCCTGCGTCAAAACATTGATGCTGTATTTCTGCGCGTGCGCACTGCGGGAAAGCCATTCCGAACGAGTCCTGCCAAGTTTCAGAAGTTTGCCAAGAATGTGCTGTGGACTGCATGTGCGCTTGGGAACTCGCTTCGCGACTGTGCTTCTCTGGCGCGACTTCGTGCGATGTGTCGTGACTTTTGGGCTGAGGAAATGTTATCGTCACTTTGCACTGGCTTTGTGTTTCCCGCTTCCAGCCTCTTCTGGGCTCCTAGGCCCCAAGACCGCGATTCCCCAGCATCTCCGAGCCAAGGATTTACAAGTGCGTGGCTCGAGCCCTATGTGCGGACAGAGTTTCCGAAGGGGATTGTGTCTTCAGTACGCTGTAGAGTTTACGACAAGGGTCAGGGTGGGGGTTTGGTACTCGGAGGTTCGGGGGCCAGTTGTACGTGGGGCCATACGACCTTCAGTAGACCTCTACAGAAAGGTCGCCTCCCCAAACTTTCTGGAATGGCGAATTTGGTGTTAGGAAGCCATAAGAAAACTCCATACTAGGAACCCCCAAGGACTCCGACCCTTCATACGGAAGTCCCGTCCCACCTGGCCAGGTTTAACCAGCACATCGTTTCGATGTTCGGGCTTGGTTAAGACACCTGCTGCCATTTGCACGATTGCTGACGGTAGCCCCAACACTTACAGCAGAGATAACTTTGAATCTGTGATGGCTGGGCTGGAAGTGTTGCAAGTATCGAGATGGACTCCGCACAAAAGCTACTCCACTTTGCAGGTCCGTGCGGTGACTTCGATTCTGGCTCTTTGCTTCTGCGCCTCCACTTTTATCACCTTGTCCCCAAACAAAGCCAATCTGTAGCATCCACAACCCCACATCCAGGCATCCCAATACCCTGAACCCAGCTCTTTGGTCGAGGCGCTGCTGCCCTGTAGCCACAACTACTGCATGGCTTGCTGCTCCGAATGGATCCGCCGGGGAGCCCAGGGAGTTCCGGGGGGGGGGAGGGGGGTTGTAGCGGAAGGGGGGCGAATGCTAGATGGTTGTTCAAGTTTAGGCAGCCGTGTAATTACTGAAGACTGTCATTCAATCGTGTGGGACGCTCCTTACGACTGCCATGGGCCATGGGATCAGCTTTGAGTCTGTGTAAAGACAGAGCCGAACAGTGGAGGGTAGGGGTGTCGAGTCGCCTTCTTCGCTGAGATCACAAAGCAGAGTGTCCACTCTGTCGACGCAGAATTACTGCTGCACCTTGGCAGCAGTCCGCCGAGCCTAGCTCGCCACAAATGTGTGCCCAAGCCAGGCTGCTCTAAACAGTACAAGAGTACGTGGCGAAAAGGTTTTGGTTGGGTAGCCGCGGTTTTTTGGTTTTTAGGCTTCAGGCAGCTTCGATAGTCGAAGGCTCTCTCGGACAGGTGAATAGGTGTATCCCTTCGTGTCTCTTCAAGGCCAAGGGCCACGACTTCCGTCTAGATGGGTGAAGGACGGAGCAATGAGACCTGCGACGAACAGTTACGTTCGGAACTTCTTGCCGAAGACATGTTCACATGGCTAAGAAATGGCTTGAGCGAATTCGATGGCCTCGGAGTGCATGTGCCCTGAATACGAGGAGTCCTCAACTGTCTCATTTCTGTCATGATGACTCTTTGCGGAATGTCATACGCACCATGCAGCTCCACGCCCAAGCAGTCCATATTCCACGGTGCTGCCACTGTGAAACCAATCCAGAGCTCAGGTCATGAAGAACCATCCGATGGATTCGGTTGTGGAAGTCGTGGCCCCAGCCTCCAGAGAAAGTGTCGCATAGCTCTGCCTCAGGATCCGTTTTCACAAGCTCGTAGCCTCAGATTGCTCAGGCACGAACCCTGCAAGAACCCTGAACCGCCATTTCCTAAACCCCTTCCAAGGCTTGAAACCCCCTAAACCCCCTCAAAGCCCTTACCCCCTAAACCCCCTCAAAGCCCTAAACCCCCGAAGCCCCCTCAAAGCCCTAGACTCAACCTCCCAAGCTGCCAGGCCTTCCTGGCGGCGCAGCCAGAGCGGCGCCGTTCGGAGCAGGAGCCCCCACCGAACCAGCCAGAGAGAGATTCATAAGGGTTAGGGGGGGGGTCTTAGTATGGCCCCTTTAGGGGGTGGGGGGTTTCAGTGCTTTGGGGTTGAAGGGGCTTAGGGTAGCACCATGGTTTGAGTTTGGTTGTTTTTGTTAAGAGTTCAAGGCTCTTGAGGGAGAGGCTCGGAACCAGGGCAGCCGTGCTTTCTTGTGCCCTCGGATCAGGTGCTCAACTTCAACGGCCACAATATACCCCTAAATTCCCCTTTGATAAAACTTCTCTTTGAAGGTTTCGTTAGAGCCCGCTTTCCAGGGCTTCAGGGCACCTCGGGGACGGATCCGGTTTGTATGATGTGTTTTCATGCTATAAGAATTTGCTCTCTCTCTGTCTCTTTTTTACAAGCTAGGTTCCCTTGGTAACATGAAGGCCCTCAAAAGGACTCCCATCATTTTCTAGGCGGGGGGGAGGGGGAGCTCCAGTTTTCCGGAAAACCTCGCTTCGAGGAGCGTCAAGACATGGACCAGAGAGACAAGCTCAGGCCGGGATCCCAACGTGGGCAACACCACAGCAGGGATGAAGTGGGCCGACAGAGCCTACCCTCCAGAGTGCATTCACGCTTCGTTGCTATGATTCGTGATTTTTTTGCTTAAGCAGTAGTATGAATGAGCGCCGGTCCCACCTCGCAACGCTCTTAGCAGCAAGCTCCTGGAGTTCTTAGCTCCTCGGAACTCTCTCTGCAAAACCTCCCGTAGGCAAAGTCTTTAAACAGAAGTTTGATTGAGCAGGCATTGGCCCCCATGCCACCCGCACTCCTCTCACTCGCACAGTTTTGCTCTCCCCACTTCCGGCCCAGGCTCGGGCAGAGTGGGAAGCTGGCATGGGTCCTGGAAAGTTGCATCAGGATGCGTCAGGATGTTACACGCCTCAGCGCTAAGATCGCACAATGGAGCTTGCTCTAAATTATGGTCTCCGCTCGGGTCGCTCTTTTGAAACACCGGCCATCATAATGTAGGTACCGCAGACCGTATTATCGAGAATTGTAGAAGGCCGCCTCTCTGATATGGGGTCCCCTTTGGGGGTACCTTCTTCAAACAGGGACCTCCGTTTTTGAAACACGTGAAAATGACTTGTAGAACTATGTATGCATACATATACATATAAACATATATGTATATATGTATGTGTGATATGCAGAGCTGCATGCCATTCCGAGCGCCCAAGCCTTTGGCAAGAGAGGTCCGCGACTTTTGCACCATTGCCGCCCCACCTCGGGTGGCGAGCCGGGGTGCCTGAAGGCATCGTAAGCTCAGAGGTGCATTGGTGCATTCACATGGCTAATACCTCGTAGTGGTTCTGTGCAAGTACTGTGGTTCAAAGGGATGACCAATAACTGTGCTGAGTTGTGGCCTGCAGGGCCGAGAGGTGAGAAGTCTCGGCATTGGGCACTGGGGCCTTTAGCGGATGACTTGAATGACAGCTTCAATCTGCAGGCAAGCGGGCGACGTATGTTGGTTTAAGCAGGTGAGAGGAGAGAGATGGCGGTCCTACGGCCATATCTCAAGAGTCCGCGTGGTTGTGCGTAGCGTGTTCTCTCGGCTGGCGCCGAAGCGCAAGATCTTCTACAGAATCACCAGCGACAAGTCCCCAAACCTTGCAAGCTTCGAAACCTCGGAGTTGATAAGAACACAAAAAGCCCATCAGAAGGCCATGAAACTCGACTTGGGCTTGTTGGCCGAGGCCCCGAGGTCCCGCGCCGGCGATCACAGGCGCCCTCGAAAGCTCGAGGGCTGTTAAGGTGTCTCAGGATTCAGGGATTTAGGGCATACAAGTGGATGATACTGATAGCGGATGCGAATTTAAGGGGCTGAGGCTCTGAGGGGTTGCAAGGTTGAGGGGCCTTGGGGCTTCAGGGGTTGGGAGTTTAAGGTGTTCGGCAGAGTAGCTTTCGGGGCACAAGGTCACAAGGTTTTGAGTAAAACTGACTCTGGCAAAGATGTGCCAATGCCCGAAACCTCTCTTTGAGTTGCGGGTTTGAACCTCGGACAAGCGACAACACCCACAAATGTTTGTGGACTGAGCTATTTCTCCAAGTTCATAGGCCGCTGAGAGCAGCTTCTACCTGGAAACCTCATTGCTGCATTGGGAAGATTCGGAAGAACTACTTTGCTTATCAACAGTCCTCCACTTGAGGGCGAGTCCATCGCAAATCCTTAAGGAGTGAAAATGCCACGGGGCGTGTTTATCTTGGATCCGTTCAAGCAGCTCGGAAACAGCTCAGAAAGCCCCTGGTGCTGTAAAGTTGCTGTAGTTGCTATAGTCAGTGCAGGTCATTGCTCAGGTGCGCGTCGCACCTTGGTAGGATGGCGACGGCTGGGGTGACATCAGCTGCAGTGATGTCGGCTGCTGTAGCCACCGCACTGCACTACGCATCTCAAGGCGTCGAGGGCCTGAAGCAGGGACACGCCTTGATTGTGGGAGATGCATCAGCCGTCTTGCGATGTGGTCACGTCAGAGGCCACAGCGATTTCCGGCGAGAAGATGGCATTAGCATTCTGACGCCTGCCGGAGCTGAGACCGTCCGCCGGCACATGAACATGGACGGCATGACCCTGATTGGAACTGATGGAATCGTCTGTGCCAACCACATTTATGCCAATCAGCTGCCTCAGTTGGGCACCGGCGGTTCACGCACTGCGGCGTCCATGTGGTTCTCCATGGAGGTCCCTGGGTGCATGGTCTTGATGATCTCGCAAGATAGTCCCGGCACGGTTCAGAAGTTCACAGCTGGGCATGCTGAACTCGTTGGCGCTGCTGACGGACTATGGCTGCAGCCTCTTTCGCAAGGAGCTGCTGCAGCTGCTGCAGCTGCTGCTCAAGCTCCCCTCAGAACGGCCCTATCACCGGGCTGGTACATCGTGACCTCACGCACCGGTTTGAATTGCCGAAGCTCCCACGTCCAAAAGACAGGCAGCGTAGCAAGGGGCCATCGCTTTCAGGTACTGGAGGTTCGTATGGGTCACGAGCTTGGAAACATCTTTGCTGCTTATGGCCCGGAAAGGATCTGGGGTCGTGCTGGCGTGGCGAGGCCTGAGTGGCTGGCGTTGACTGACAACAACGGGGGCATGAACGTGCAATTAGAAGTCCACTAAGCCGAAGCCCACCAAGGGCTTTCATCATGGGCGCTTGCCTGGAGCAACCTACTCGTACCCGAAAAGAGCGTGAGCAGAGTGCGTGTGCGCGTGTTTTGTGGATGCGCAAGTTTCCAAGCTCAGTAGGGATTGCGCTGCCAAGCAGCTGATTGCGTTCTTCTTCAGGCTGGCATCAAGGTCGTACCTGCAATCCTCAAGCCAATGACCTCCGCAATGCTTCGCTCCTAATCAATATTCCCAAAACTTCGAAGCCCTGCAGGCAGAGCGCCTTGTCTAGGATCCGTTTTGACTTCGAAGCTTAGGAGTTTCGGCTGTAGAGTTTAGGGTTCTTCGACCCTTACTCAGATCCTACAAGCACCTCAGCTCCCGGATCCCGAGCTCCCGAACCTCAAAAGCTTCTCTCCACCGCGAGGGCGTGGCTCCCGAAGAGGTCTCGGCGAGACAGTTCCAGGTGGGTGGAGTTTAGAAGTCAGGTTAAGGGGGCTGAGAGCTGTCGTGCTCAAGAGGATGCTCCCCCCCCCAAGCAATGCTGAAGCTCCATATCCTACTGCATGGTCGCTGACGCTTTAGTTGTTGGGCCGCAGGCCGCTAGGGTTGTTGGCTGCATGTCAGGTCATCTGTACAATTCACGGATTCCTCTGGGCTTCTCTCGTGGTATCTCTTTCCCTTTCGAAGCGCCAGGCCAATGCACGGCATGCGCGCCCGGCGCGCGACCTGCGCGAGGAGCGCGATGCGCGTCAGAACGCCCCAGGCTCCCAGGCTCGATGAGGGAAGCAAGGGGGATGAGGAGTTCAGGGGTTCAGGTTTTGAGGGTTTGAGGGTTTGAGGGTTTGAGGGTTTGAGTGCTTGAGGTTTGAGGGCTTGAGGGAAAGAAAGCTTCAAGGGCGCTTTACGAAGGTGTCCAGGGGCTAAGGGTTGTTTTAAGCACAATGGCGGGACCCCGGACCACTAGAGCTTTAAGGGCTTTCGGGGCTTCTAAACAGGGCTTCCAGTGCTTTGAGGGGAGAGATGAAGGTTCTCGGAGGGTCTGTTCACCCATAAGGCTAGCTTCTCAGCCGGTTGGAGATGCTTTAAGAACGAGGACCTATACAGTTAGACATGGTGGCAGCTTGCGGCTTGCCTCAATTTCACATCGAGCGTAGGAAGAACGTACAGAAACCTAAATCCATCTGACCGACCATCAACGAGCAGCGCGTCTGTCGCTTACTGTAAGCCGACTGAAACGATGAAAGTCTGCAACCTACTGGCATGACATCCGCAGCCGCAAGGCATGGAGAACCCAGTTCAAAACGCCGAGTTTTTGCTGAAGCATGTGATTGCCCACATCTTGCTTCGACAGGGACATAGTCGCAGTTGGGATTGATGCAGCGTGTGTATACATTGTCGCTGAGCAAATTGCAGATTCAAAGAAGAGGAGCACAAGCATGTTGAGGATCAGAGTTTCTATCCCGATACCATCGCCGGGCCCACCTCAGCGTTACCTGCCATTCCCACAAATATTGCCGCCAGTCCGGCCATTACCCACGACCCATCCCCTACCAACACGAGCCATTCCCACAATCACCCACCCTTTCCCACCGTTCCCACCATTCCCCCATTTCCCGCCAGCACCAGCCAATCTCCACCATTCCCCACCATACACTACCACTCCCACCGTCTCCATCTTGCACCATAAGCCACCATCCACCGTTGCTCAGCATTCCCGCCGTTACTCCTTAGCCAACAATTCCTGCTGGCATCTACGCGCCATTCGCCAATGTCAGTTGTTCCATTAAGAGGGTCGTAGAAATTGAGCTCTTCTGCTTAGCCTGAAGCTGAAACCTTTAAACCCAGGCTAAGAAAAAGAAGCCGTAGAATAGAAGTAAGAACCCTCGGATTAGGATGGGGGGGGGGAGCCAGGGCCCAAAAAAGGAACCGGCAGAATGCAAATTAACACCGTCGCCGACCGAGAATAACAAACACACGCCAAGAAGAGGAAGAGGAAACCATGCCCTGTGACTTTCTTTCCATTCAGCAGGTGTGCGTTCTTCAGTGAGGCCACATCTGCCTGCTCCGCTTCCTGTCCGTGTTTGAGGTCATTGTCGTGCATTGCCATAGCAGCATAGCTTTTCTTACATCCCAACCGTTCATATTCAGTGTATCAACGTCTTCAAGCAGATCATTGGACGTGGCTTGCTCAGCGAATCGTGACTCTGAAGCGTGGAGATGCATGGCCGAGTAGAGTGAGTAGAGTGGTTGGTTTTAGGAATTTTAGGAGATTGTGAACAAGATATGTTGGCGTAGCACATTCGGCAAAAATGCAGCAACAGAGCTAGGAGGCGTGAATGTTGATCAATGCAGGCAATCCAGCGGGAACTGAGGAACTGCAGGGCATTGTACAGTTGCTCACGGGACTTGCGGCCCAGAACTATTTTCAAGCCGAGCAGGGGGCGGCACAGTCATCAGATGCACGGAGCGGGGTCACCCTTCAGAAAGCTTCTGTCTGTACTTTGGATGCGAGTGTGAGCCTCTTGTTTAAAGAGTTCAGGGCGGGGAGCAAAGCTTAAGCGCAGCTTTCGTGGTGGCTTTATGGCTTCCCCCTGCTGCGCCATTCTGCCTGTGTAGCAAAAGTATGCAAAAGTTGTAGCAAGGCCCGTGCCTTGAACAGATCCCCTGCACCTGCCGCGGAGAGGGTTCTGAAGTCTGTAATTAAAGCGACTCCTTCTGTTTCGTGGTGGTTCTTTCTTTTTGTCACGTATAGGGGCTTTTAGAGGGGCTTGTCGCTCGGAGGAGTTACAGAATAGCTAGCGGTAGGGCCTGTAGCAGGGACTCACGATGGTCTAAGGAGCCTCGACACCCACTGAGGCTTCTCAGATCAAAATGTTCTCGTCGCTGCCCTTCAACACCCCCCGTCGCTGTCGAGAAAGTAGGTGTGCGCGTGGTTCTGATACATCCTTCGGCACCAGTAGGAAGGCCCTCTTCATGTGGGGCCCCTTATGTGGAGTCTAGTCCGTTTCTTGTGTTGGTACCCACATGCGTTTCCCAGATGATGAAGCTGGGAAGTTGAACGATTGACACAGGTGAAATCAGGCAATGCGTTCTTCCCCCCCGCCTCGTCCACGATCCGCGGCAGAGCGGGCTGAACCGCAGACCCCCAGAAGTTTTCCGGGCGAGCGGCTGGGTCCAGGGCGTACCGCGGCGCGTGACCCCAAGGAAGAGAACCTCAAGCCTTCATCCGATCGTGCTACGTGGCCACACGAGCCCAGCTTGGGGCCTATGGCACCCTGAACACTGAATCCAAGACAAGCCCGGATGCCTTGGAACATGTAGCCCTTGGCGGGTCTTAGCGCAGCATGTGGCCGGTGGGCAGGAAAAAGCCGCTTGTGAAGCTCCAGCACCTCCCCAAAACCCGACTTCCATGTCAATGCCCACTGCACCCTGCAGTGCAGGGGCGCCGATAGCCGAGACCCGCGGGCCGAGCATCACATGAGCATCAACTAGACCTGGTTTCTCGACGGATGCAACACAACCCCCAAAAACCCAAAAACAGGTCCAAAGTTTGGCAGAGTTTAGGGGTTCCGTGTCCTAAAAAATGCTTATCCTGATTTAGCAAAGCTTTTCTCTGCACGAAAGCTAATGCGGGGGGGAGCTTCGTGGAGAAACTAGGCCCAGTTGATGCTCGCCGCGGGACTCGGCTATCGGCTCTAGCAGGAAGAGCCTGAACGCGAAGCTCGGGGTTCGTGGCTGCTGGTGTAAGGCTGTCTGGAAGGATGCCTGGCCCAGCAGCCGTCCTGTGCGGTAGAATCCCTAAATTCTAAAGACCCCGAAAACCCTGAAAACCCTAATTACACCCCGAAGCACATGCTGCTCTTCTCCCCAGAGCGCTGTGCTGGCGCTCTGCCGGGAAGCACTGCACAGGTACCGCTTGGGGGAGTGCTTTTTGGGTTTGGAGGTTAGGGTTTAGGCCTACACCCGAAACGAGCTGGAGAATGCTTAAGATCCCGATGGCCCGTGCAGTAGCCTTTAGAGAGGAACTCGGAACACGTTAAACCAGCGTAGGGGTTCAGGGCTTAAGGGTTTTAGGGTTCAGGGTTGAAAGGGTTTTAGGGTTTAGGGTTAAGGGCATTTTAGGGTGTAGGTTTTGGGTTTTGGGGTCTAAGGGTTTCAAGGCTTTTAGGGTAGGGAGAGGATGTGACCCGGAGTTTGCCTCCCTGTGCTTTTAGGGTTTAGGCTTTAGGGGTTAGGCTTTAGGGTTTTGGGTTTAAGGTTTAGGGTTTCGGGTCACTCCACGAGACCAAGCTGCTGGGGCTGGGCTTCCATGAGTCGTGACTTTGCTTGAAATGGGTTCGTAGGGGTCGAGTGCGAAAAAAAAACCCGAACCCGAACTCCCTGAAGCCTGCACTTCAAAAAACCCTTGGAGAACCTCAGAGCCCTGAACCTTAAGAACTCCGGTAAGCCCCGAGCTACTGAAACCTCAACCCTTAGAAAAGCCAACCCTCAAAATTCATACCCTCAACCCTGAACCCATAAACCGTAAGCGTAAAAAAACCTAAACACTCTGAACCTTCCAGGCTTGACTTGCGGGGCCATGTGGCGCGCGGATGCCCGGGAGCGAAGTTCAAAGGCTTGAGCCCCTTGAAGTGTTGGGGGTCAGGGGTGTGAGGGGTTGTGAGGTTTCGGGTTCGAGGGTGCTTTTGGGGCCTCCTCTGAACCAAGGGCTTTCTTTTTTGGGGTGTACCTGAAAGGATCCGTATCAAAGCAGCAATTTGCAAATCAAAGCAAAGCCAGAAGATGAGCTAATGAACAGCAAAATAAACTTGCTTGGTTCTCTTGCTTTCTGCCGCTAGTGTTTTGCTTTGCCAGAGTTGAAAGGTCTCGGTGCAGGGGGTTCAGGGGTTTTGCACGTGGTTCACTTGGAACCTGCAGTTCCGATGCTCAAAAAGCTTTGAAACGCTCAATTCAAGCCCCTTCGCTTCAAAGCAGAAATCTGAATTGCACAAGTTTTTTTACATGAAACAGCCAGCAGGCCCCCCCCCCCCCCCCCCCCCCCTCCCTTCCCCCCCCTCCTCCCCTCCCAAGCGCTTGAGGTCAAAGTCTTGGGCCTTTTTGGGAGTCAAGCCGATACAAAAGGTTGAAATCTTCCAACCCAAACCCCAAGAATGTCCGCAAAGACCCTAAGCCCAGGACCCACCCCCGCCTCGGTGTGGTGGATCACGTCGCCTGCAACCCGCTGGGGGCAGCAACATGTGAGGAGGCCCCCCGTGCATGAAAACGCACTTTCATGGACACCCCTTAATGAGCTTCATTTCTACGCTTCAACTTTCTCCTGTAGGTGCAAAAGAAGCCCTGCCCGGGTTCGGCGATGTGTTGAGCGTTATCTGGGAGCCATCCGCCTGCTCTCAGGCGATGTTTAATATCTTCCAGATTGGACACGTGTTCGTGGCGTCTTGCACCACTGTTTATCCATCTACAGACACTTCAGAATTCTGCCGCCAGAGGAGCCGTTTGTATCACACTACCTATTTCATCCTTCCCAATGCCTGCCAACAAGGTCATACTATGTACGTGTGGGAGAGGGTGAGAAGAACACATAGCTACAATGCGGAGAAGAGGCAGCTAAGCGCCGAAACCAGACAGATCCACTGGATTGTGCCCATGTTGTAAGCTTCAAGTGAGAGCTCTCAAGATTCAGCCGGTGCCCCAGGAGGACGATCGCAGCTTGTAGGCTCACAGCAGAAGTTGCTTTCACGCCCCTTTGCAGCTCAGGATGCTTGAGCACACCCAAGTGGGACGCATGCTACCAAAAAAGCCCGGCATTGAACCAGCCTCATTAAGTCTGGAGAACCAACCCAGGGAGGAGCAGGGGTTTAATATGCATGACGACCAGCATATTATCAAGCCATCCCCAAAACAAACTGAGGCCCCTCTTTGCCTTTGAAAACATCCTTGAAATCAGCACCTCAACCCCCCCCCTCCCCGCCCTTGTGGTGGGCTTTTCGGGGGGATGTCCCCAGCTTTGCACCGCCCGCGCCGGCCCAGCGGCGGCTTCAGCAGGCACGCCTGGTCGGCCACTTGAAAAAAACGCCGAGTTTTTTCTGTAGTAACCCCCTCCTCTCTTGTCTGTTTTTGTTTCTTGAGTTTTCTGAGGTTTTTGGGGAGGGCTTCTGCTTTCAGCAGCTTTGCAGAGGATTGGAGAACACTCACCAAGCAATGTCGGAGGGCATGATGAACCTGGGTTACGCTTAGGGTTCAGGGTGATACGGCTCGGCTCTTATGGTTCAGATCAACTCTTACGGGTATGTCAAGGGCGTTCACTCCGGGCCCTCTCTGCTGCGAGAACAACAGACTTTCCTACAATGAAGATCCAACATGCCAACCCCAATATTGATCAATGCCCAATATTCCGCTTCGGGCGCTGATTCGGGTACTTGGAGAGCAAAATGGATGCCTGTCTCTCTTGTTAAGGAATGTACATGTAAGCTACCGGAAGACGAAGAATCTACCAATCTATGCATATGTTGAGGTGCCGCCCCTGTGAAGGAGAGCCATTCCATGTTACCTGCGATTAGAGATGGTATCTTGGTTTGTTAAAAACACTTTAAGCAGCACCCCGCATCTAGGTTTCAAGTTTCAGGGTTGAAGCTTAGGTTTCAGGTCTTTGGGTGTTCCAGGGTTTTGGCTTGTTCTGGGAGGGGCTTCTTAAGGTCTATCCCCAAACCCTGCGAACCTCGCGGAGAGCCTGGTGCAGGCGGAGCCCTTACCATGACTTCGGGGCTGTTGGAGGATCTGAAGCTCTGGTTTTATGCCAAGGACGGGGGGGGAAGTCACCGTGGGCCGTCCGGCTTCCCAACCTGCAAACGCTCACAAGTAGGGGCAAGACAGTCCGCCCTGGGTATGCACTCCCACCCTATGACGGGCTAAAGTTTGGCGAGGACGGCTTTGCAGACGAGGCCTTTGCCTTTGCTGACCAGAATGCCGACTTCTTCGAGGCGCTGGAGGGCATTGGAGGGCTTTATAGATAAGATTCAGGGTCAGGAACAAGGGGAATCATTGCCCGAGTCTACATCTGCTGAATCGCCACAGTGCACGCGCTGACTTCGCGGAGCCTCATCCTCTCCACGCCTGTTCAGGCAGCTCGGAAGTATTTCGACCTGGGTGGTGAAGAGCATCGCCTGGACAGTCAGCATTGGCAGAGCGTAGTTGACCGATCTAGCCAGCTTGAAAGAGACCAGGCTTGTTTGAAGATGATACGCAGCAACGGTCAGCAACTCTCAAGGGGGCCTGCTGGAACGTACGCTTTGTGATTCTAAGAGGTCAAACTTGTTAGAAGTCTCCGAGTCCTTGAGCGTCTTTCCTGACCCTGAGAGCATAGCTTTGAAAGAGGATTGGACAGAGCTGCACCGGAGCTTCGTTGCCGAGTTTGAAGGGCAACTGGAGGCAATTGAGGGCTTCAGGGGTTTCAGTCTGGCCATGTAACGCCTCCAGTTTCCAGTCGTTCTTGGCGAGCAGGCTTTCTGTTTTTTGCTTTTTGGTGTGCAGCCGGCGTTAGGTTTAGAACAGCACATGGTGAGTTCTCTGAATGATCCTGGAGTCTTGTAGGAGACCCAACGGGTTGACATGTCCTTGCTGCGCTCTGCAAGGCCTTTCTGGCTCTCCGAAACACCGACTTGGAGGCACGCTGCCTTGGTTTCAGGGGCCGAGGGCCTGAGATCCGCATGGAAAGTTCAGGGCTTAAGAGGCCTGGGGTCGAGGACCAGTGCAGTCGCAGGGCCACGAATCCGACACCGTAAGCACGCGAAGAAGTCCAATGCCTTTTCAAACCTCTTATCGGCCTTAATCTAAACAACACCTAGCCTTCGACTCAACCTCCTAAACCCTAACACCCTAACACCTTAGCACCCCAAAACCCCGACACCCTAAACCCTAAACCCTAAACCCTAAGTCCCAAGCCTCAGACCCAAATTGCTGGAATCCCCAAGCCCAGGGCCTCCGTGCGGCCCTTGATGCCGCGGACCTGGGTGCTGACCCGCAGGTGGGTCGGATTTCGAAGCTTCGGGAGGGTTGAGGGTTGAGGGTTTGGGGTTTAGGGTTTAGTTGGGGTTTAGGTGGTAAGGGTATCAAAGGGTGTGGTGCAAGGCTTAGGGCTCAAGGGTTAAGGAACGGGCTTTGCAAGAGAGTCTCTCCTTACTGGTTTGAAGACCGTCAAGATGAAGCTCAATCCCGACACCCTAAAGACCCGCACCCCAAACCCTACGGCCTGAACTCGCAGCCTAAAAAGCCCCTAAAGCCCGAAACCAGCCCATGAAATCACCTCCCTAGCTCCTTTGGTGCCCCCCCCCCACCCCACCCTTGTGCCGACCTCCTTGCGGGGGGATTCTGCGGCAGGTTCCAATTTCTCGGGGTGACTCAAGCAGTTGGTCGGGGGTTCCGGTTTCGGCAGAATGGGCGTGATGTAAGGATGTCTGAACATCAAGAAGAGATGTGCCACTTTAAACAAAAGTCCGATCGTTCTCTGCAACAAATACATAGGCCCAACACCAACACCTTTAGAGTTTCTGAACTTCGACAGCCCGAAAGTGAACATCGAGTTTCGGGAGGCCGCTGTTATGGTGCAGCTGATGCTAAATATGGCTGCTGCTCGGTTTGCACAGTTGAGGTTGGGCTTTGGCCAAAAGGCCTGGGGGGATAAAAGCGAGGCATGGGGCCTGAGGCTTGGGGGCACATTCAAGCCCAGCGCTGCTCGTCACAGACTTCTGTGATCTGAGCTAGGCCTCCCATTTATGTCTCAGTCGGGTCCCTTCATGATAATCGCTCCCACCTGAGGACTACGAGCCATGGCTGACCTCGATGCTGTCTCTGGTGGAGGAGCGCCGGATGGAGGCCTCTTGAGGTGTCCTGAACTGGGATTCACATGGATTCCGCCCTGTTTAGAACAGGGGTGTAGGGGCACCGGCTCTTGCACCTCCGCACCCTCCCTCCGGTGTCGCGAGTCGGCAGGCGGACGATGCACCAGAACCTGACACAGGCCTCCTCGCAGGAAGAGTCGGGGATTCGGTTCAATGAGCCACTTGAGAGCTTTTGAGAGTCACTTGGAGCGGGGGGCTGCTTGGCACGCATGGTCCACAAAGCTTGAGAGTGAACCCTAGAACTTCCGGAACTGCCCTTCCAGGTCCAGAGCCTCCAGCAGAGCCAGTGCAGCCATCAGACCTGGATGCGTTCCTGTAGGGCGTTGAAAAAGGCAGCAATTTCCAAGTCGAAAATCGTCCTTGCGCGCGGCACGTGCAAGCCAGGGTTCTCATGCCCAGGAGACTCAGAGCTTCTCCTAACCTCTGCCAACTCTTGCAATGACTCCAAGACCAATTGACAGCATACTGAACCTTTCAAGCAGCCTCCCTGGCTTCTAGCAAATCAGAGCACCCTTTCAGACGCTCTCAGAACAGAAAAGGCGCAGGAAAGGGGACCAGGGGACCTTTGAACTAACGACTGCAGGCGGCTGCCCTGGCCCAGGGAATCGGGCATGGCCTGGGCCACACGCTGAAGGCCTGCTTAGGCTTCAGATGCTCATGTTTGGCACGTGTCCCTTCGTGTCTTTCCCGCGCCAATATCGACCCAATGCCTTTTCGAAGTTTCTGCTGCAGCGAATCTGTAACGCCCTTCGAGAAAGGTTGGCAGCCTGCCCGTGTTTGCAAGCACACCTCTCGCAATCTTCTTCACGGCACGGCTCGGGTGCTGGCTGCTCTTTGAGGCTCAGACAACCCTGCTGCTAGCCTGAAGTGCATACTTCCATGATCTTCCATGCAAAGCGCTGCTCGATGGCTATTGAACTGCCTTCTTCCCTATTCCGTCTGGAGCTTCTCGCACGTCACCGAGGAGTCCAATGCACTGAACTTCGTCCAAAGGAAGGTGCTGCCACGAGTCGCTCCACCGCCCACGCTTTCAGCGGCTCAAAGTGCACCCTCAAAGCCTTGGCACACGCACAAGTACATCTTTGTTGCTCATCACAAGGCCGGTGTGTTTTTGATGCATGACCTACAGTCATCGATCTTCCTTTCTCTTGGGGCGACTGCGAGCGAAATGGGTTTGTGGATTCAGCCCTGTTATCCTGGTGACTGTTTGAAACCAGAGGCACCGATCCAGTTTTGGATGGACCTCTATTCGTACGAAAGAGCGCAGGAAGCAAGGGAAGCTGCCGGCGCAAAAGGCATGCGCGTCGCGGGAATCGTGCGAGATCCGGTGTCCATGATCGTCTCAGCATACTGCTATCACCATCGGGGCGAAGAGCTAGGCAATGTCATGTTCGGCAATGGAAGCTTAATGCACTTGGGCCCCAAAGAAGGACTTAAGTTTGCTGCAGAGAGGATGTTGCCGTTAGTTGAAAACATGACGACTGCCTTTGAGCGGCCATTCAATGACACTTTCCACCTAGTCTACGAGAAGGTCACCCGATCTTCTGAGGACTTCGACCAGCAGGTTGGAGAGATGACCAGCTTCTTGTTCCAAGACCTTATTACGCCGGCACAGCGCAGCCAGGTCCTCAACGCGACGCAATCGGCAGATCTGCATCGTCATCCGGCCAAAGGTGATCATGGGAACGACAAAGAATGCAAGGACGAAGTGCGCAAGTACGTGCCCTCACTGCCCCCAGAGCTCTTGTCACGATACCGCTCCTTCCAGCAGCGATTGGGATATGCAGCTTCATAAGAAGTCTGTGCCGTTTGGGCCACATTGGAAAATTTTTCGCAGTGTCAAAAGGAAGCCAGGCGCAACAACAGCTTGAGGCTCCCTACCAAGTAGCTTGCCTCATTCTTGAGAGCGCTGCTGCAAGAAGAAGCATACTGGCCGTTCTCACAATTAGGACCCTCTTCTTGGCACATGCTGGGTGCAAGGGTGGCCGGACTTGTAGAAAGACGTGTGAAGGGTCTGACAGGGTTGCCCTCCCAATCATACCCAAAACAAGCTTCTTCTTATTCAGGCCCCTCCTTCAGAAAGTCCTCACAAGTTCAGCACTTCGGGCTTTGCGTATGATAACATAGGTGCCGGTCTTCTTCTATGGTGCTGCTCGACAGGCCGGGGAATCAGTTCCAGGTTGCGACCATGGCTCGCAAGGGACTGGTTCGGGTAAATGTTAGTTGTTTACTAAGTAAGTGTGTACATTTCATGCGTTTGTGGCGTCATGGACTGGGTCGAGGATATGTGGGTTTGTCTCACGTTGTCTCTTAAGCACAAAAATCATAGTAATAGAATAGTAGAACACGATAGGTATGTAATGTCATATCATACCAAGTAATCTGCGTAGGGTACTATACTCATTTTACTCTCTGTAAAACGCTTTTGAGCCAAATTCCCTTGCATGGCGGCCAGGATCGACGGGCGCTGGCGGAGCTGCGGCGCAGCTTGGGGTGCCGATTGTGACGTCAGCTGTGTACCCGAAACCCTAACACACCCCCAACCCCACCCCCACCCCTCCCACCCCTGCCCATCTCCCCACCCCCCTCCCCCCCACCCCTCCCCCCACCCCCCCCCCCCACCCTCCTTCCCAAAAAATAACCTAAAAACCTAAACCACAAAACCCAAAACCCTAAACCTTAGGAAGCTCCAAGCCCCAAAAACGTTTCGGCGCCTCTGCGCTTTGGCGGAAGGTACTTCGGAGGTGCCGCCAAGGGCGAATGGCTTGGGCCTCGTGTCAACGGTTTGGGAAGCTCGGGGTTTATGGGGGGTATAGGCTATTGGGTGTAGTAATATTGGAATGAACTAGTATAGTACTCAAGGTATAACTAGCCTACATTGAGTAGAAAAATGTATAAGGCTTTAGTGAGATTCAGGAGCTGTTTGGGTTTAAGGTCTGGAACACGGGTGAGATCGAGGGAGTGCCCCCGTTCTACCGACAGTGGCGGGGTTACCATCGTCACTATTCCCAAAAAGAGGCAGGTAGGAATAGAAAGCATTGTTTTTGCATGTAGACTGAAGCTCTTGCGTGGAGACTTACGAATATCTTCATCGGACGGGCAGTAGAGTGTATTGGAATGTTCGGGCTTTTTCATCTCTATGATTGCGGCCTTGCGCGAGGCACTTTGGTCCGCTACACTCTCAATCTTTTTTGCTGCAATCATCTCAAACGATCGCCGAGCAAAACGTGCTCAGCGTTGTTTCTTAAATTCATTCTTCAGCTCGGGCGGCGCACATCCGTGGCTGCTCATGTTGTCGATGCGTGGAAGGATCTGTCGCATACGAGTCCCCATTCTGTGCCTCGAGCACAGGACAACCGACAGAAGATACGGCCAATCACGCAATGGCGCCGAACCATGCCGAACCCCTTGTCTAAGATTGCACTCCCTAGATGGCTTCCCCAGGGTGGACAATCGTAAGTCAACATGGTGACATATATATATATATATATATATATATATATCTGTGCATATATATAGTGTTGTACGATACATTTTCTTGGTTTTATATTATTGTTATCGTATTATCATTTTAGATTGCAGGCCAACAGGTGCAGACCAGTGTCCAAGTCACGAGCGTGCCGCCTGCGGCATCCTGGGCGTTTGCCACGGGACGCCCCGATGCCGTACAGACAGTCATTTTTAAGTCTTGGAGTTTGATTCTGATTCTGTTGATGTTTTGTACATGATGTACATGTGTGCATTTTTCGTGCTTCACAAATCGAATTTGTCTATGGGGCTTTGCATCCTTCGGCTTCCGATGTGTGTACGACAGGAAAGTGACCATGCGTCCTGCCTCAACCTCTCCCCCCCCGCCCCACACACCCTATGCGCGAGAACCTGAAGCCCTGTAAGTTTTTGTGCGCATGAGATGTGTTTCATGCGCGGATCTCTTGGGGAGCTAAGTTCCCCCACTCGACTAGGTCTGGATTGTCCGACGAGATCAAGGCCGCCATCGTCCACCTCTCGAGATTGGCTTGTCGGATGGGCTTTCAAGAGTTGCTGGGGGGTCGAAAGTGAGGCAGGGGTCATCTTGGTCTAGCAAGGGTGGGATCTGAAGAGAAGTAAATTCCCGTTCTGAAGCTTGAGCCTTAAACCCTCATGTGCCCTATAGGGGCCCTCGAGCCCAAGACTTCACAAACTCCAAACGCCTCCGCCTGAGCCCCCAAAACCACGACGGCGCGAAGACTGCTTTGGCTGGGCTCGGATGGAAATTTCGGGCGCCCAGGGCGCCCGGGGGTCGCTGCGAGCGGATGATGCATCGTTGGGTTTCGAAGGCTTCAAAGGTTTAAACGTTGTTTGGGGCCTCAGAACTTCAGCATGTTTCAGAGTGCATAGAGTGCCCTTTCAACCCTCGGCTTTGTAGACCTCCAAGGTCGGCCTGCCTGCGGATTGTGGGCCAGCTGGTGAGGCGCCTGGACTGAGAGTCGACTGAATGGCTTGGGTTTCTTCTTAATGAAAGAAGTGCTTTAAAGTAGGAGCCTGTGATGCACTTGGTGCTTGGTGTTTCGATTCTTTCGACCCTCGAATACTTGTCTGGCTGAGGAGATCTAAGCCTGGGAAGCTCGGAAGCAGCACAGGTGGATGAGCGCTGTGGCGTAGCATGTGTTGGCGCCGTACCTTGGGCTTGGGGCTCAGGTGCTTAGGCTTCAGCATTGCATCTCCGACTCCGACCACTGAAGCCTGTGGAATTCGAGTGGAGCTTTCTGAGCACCCGGCTAATTAGTCTTGACATCTCCTTTGGCCCGAGCCCGAAGACAATGGTACTGGTACAAGGAGGCCGGTTTTGGCAAGGGGGTTTGTCCCAATCTGTTAGAGAAGATAGTGCTTTCCCTTTTTCGGAGATGTTCGTGTTGTGTAGCGTTGTGGGGCGTGCCATTGGCCACATTGGCCTCTTCAGCGGAAGTGACGGTGGCCGTACGTTCATCTCACGGATGGATACTGCTGGTGCCATCGCTACTTCCAGGCTTTTGCAGTTCCAGCAGCTCTTTGCTCGATTCCTCTAAGCAGTTACCCACAAACTCAAGGCGCTCCTTGCTTTCGGGGGAATACATGCAAATGCCTCAAGACGGTGCGGAACTGGAAACCATAAAAGGCAGCATGAAAGACTTCCAGCTTCAGCTTCACGAGGCGCCATGCTAGGCCCGCTAGGCCCCTCAGCACGATGTCCCGAGATGCCACGCAGCACCCTCAGGAGACTCATCGACAGCTGAACCGTAAACTGCTCAGGTCTACAACTACAACCTCCTCATCACTGCTGAGCTCACGCAGGCGGGGCAGGGGGGCAATAGTTGCAAGCCATGTCGCGGCGGTCCGCTGTACCGTAGGGCTTTAAAGATCGGGGTGGAGCAGGGAGGAGGCTTCAAGCACTGACTGCCAAGGGCCCGAACTCATACACTCGGGGAGAGAGAGAGAGAGAGAGAGAGATATATATATATATAGATAGAGAGAGGCTGGATCATCGGACGTGCGCGCCCTTCGGGGCAGCCTCCTGAAAAAAAGAGAGAGAGAGAGAGAGAGAGAGCCTGAGCACGTCCCTCGCGACGACCCCCTCGGGGGTTATGTGCTGTGGAAGGAAGGAAGAGAGAGAGCCTAGGGATCGGCGAGCTCGAAGCTTGGGGCTCGTGTAGCAGTACAGTCTCACGAAGGGTCCAGACAGGGGACCGGAGAAAGGCCTGCAGTGCAACCGGTCACCGGCTTAGTTGGGGGTTGAGGGGTTTTGATGGGGTACTGGGCAGCAGTCAGGTGGGGGGCAAAACACCGGATGCACAGCAGGCACCCTTCACAACCAACGCACAGCCCCAAATACAGGGGCGGGTGATGACGCCCGGGGGTTTGTCCCCACCTCAGAAAGAAAGAAAGAGAAAGAGCCTACCGTGCAGCGTGCGCAGGGGGTCCTTCGGGGCTCCTCAAGCCCAGCAGAAGAAGAATACAGGGAGAGAGAGCGAGAGAGAGAGCCTTGGCGGGCTGAGCTCGCAGGAAGGACGCGGAAGAGAGAGAGAGAGAGAGAGAGAGGGAGAGAGCGTTAGAGAGAAGACTGAGTTTGCGACGTCGACCTTTGAAACATCCGATCCATGCTCTTAGGGCCTTGGTGTAGGGTTTCGGGATGTTCCGGGGCTTAACCCTTTATGCCCAATTCGGGTGTAGAGGGTTTAGGCTGGGTTCCAGGTTGACCCAAGTTCGAAGTTCAGGCGGAGCTCATGACGAGGTGTCGGCGGATTGCCTGGTCCCTACGACCGGTGGGGTTGGGTCATCCGCCTTGCCTGTTATAGGGCTACTGTGGGTCATGTTGCTACAAGCTTGACATTGTGCGCTATTGTCGTTGCAGGCTTTACGGTGCGCAGAGTTTCCATACGAGCACGCAAACTTGAGGGAGTGCCGAAGGGAACATGACAGATGCCAGCACCGTTGCAGCACGTGTATATGCAAATACACGCGGAACCGATACCGTCAAGTCAAGTGACGAAAAAGCAAATCGAGGGCATTTCCGATGCAACAGCTCAGAGCTGTGAGGCAAGGGATGCGATGCAAGGAGAAGCGAAAGTGCGGCAACCACATTGCCGCAAATCATGGTAAGGCTGCCGACCATTTGGAGACTCCTTGTGGGTTTGCATTGTCCCCTATCAAGGGGCATAGGCAAAGGGCTCCTTGAATTTCTGGGGTTGCCCTTGAGATCCCGAACCCCACACCCGAAACCCCAAGCCTAACACCGCTCTAGGATTCCAAACGCCAACCGTCCGGCTTCAACACAAGGGCCTTCTGTCGATCCCTTTGAAAAAACAGTTTCTTCGAGTTATTTGACGAATCGGAAATTGATCAGCTTAATCTATTGCAGTTTTCTAAGGTTCAATTTTTCTTTGTTTTTTTCCAAAAAAGGGATCCCAAACCCGAAGATGCCCCAAGCCGAAGCTGGACACCCAGGCCCGAGCCGTTAGCGCCCGCGGCGGTGGCTTGGCGGCTGTCGAGACCATGGTGGGAGTCTCAAATCAAGCGCTGAAGAGTTCTTACTAAAGGGAACGCTCTGACAACTGTACGGTTGCATGCTCTTTCTAAGGGGGCCTGCTGAGATCTGCTAGACAGTGTTTGTGGAAGGCGCTGCCCCACGCCAAGGGAGTGGAGGCTCAGGGCTTAGACGGTCTCAGCAGCTGTTTTCAGGGGTCAAGGTGGAGGCTTCGTGAGCTCCATGCAACCTGTTAGGGTGGCTCTAGCGGTCGGTGGTTACAGGCTGTTTAAGGGGTTTGGATGCATAGCCACTTTTCGGTGGTCGTCTTGCGGGTACAATACCTTCATGTAAATACTCGTAGGAAGCTAAAGGGGAAGGAAACTGGCCATGTCTTTTTACTTTCGGAGTTTAGGGTTTCGAAGGCTGGGCTGTCGAGTTTCGTGTGCACAGGCTCAGCACCGCTCGAGTCTGAAATTCAGGGGCTCACGGCTTCAAGGTTTCTGAGACTTGGAAGGTGTCAGATTCAGGGTTGAACTTTGCTGGGAAAAGAAACTCAGGCTTCGTACTGAGGCAAGGATGCTTTTGAATTCTCGCACTCAAGAGGTGACAAGAACTCACAGGCTGAGACCCCTCCCCCAATTTGCACAACACGCCCCAAGCCCGACAAAAGACTGCTCCCGGAAGCTCAAGGTGGCGTGCAACCTTCTCGACGCGGAGCAAAGTTCTCCGCAATTGGTGCCTACGCCCCCCCCCCCTCCCCCTTAAAAACACGTCCATCAAAGCCTTCGTTGGGCTCGTGTGTCCTCTGTTTGTGGCGGCGGATGCAGGGGAAGTCTCTGTTTGAAGTTTTGGTTGGTGTCAGGTGTGTGGTGAGGATGAGACGCGAGTACCTATACTCGTAGTTTGACTTAGTTTGCTTTGCTGAACAGGCGAGAACTTCAGGCCGCGTTTCTAGTGTCGCGGTCATCCGTATTAGGTTCTCATAGTAGCTCAGGATCCCACACTTATTTCAGCCCCTTTGATTCAGAAGCTCCATCCGAGAAAGTGTTGCGGGATTGCTGTGTCTGGTTGGGATTTTGCAGTGCCTGCGGTTCGTTTGGATTCACCTGTGCCTGCGCCCGCCCTCGTGGCTCTGACTGGAAGCGTGCGCTTCGCGCAATTCGCGCGAGATGGGCTCGGCGCTCCCGGCCGATTTAGGCAGTGGCTTCATTGTGTCTGGGCTTTCGGGTATCTTCTAGCCTGCGGGGTTGTTCTAGATTTCGTGGTTCCCCCCCCCCCCCCCCCCCATTTCCCCAAGTCAAAACACTAAAGCCCGCAAACCCCTGATCCAAGTAAAGACCCAGGCTCCTAAATCCCTGAATCCTAAAGCCCGGCAAATCCTAAGCCCCAATCCCCCAAAACCGCTACAAAACCCTGAGCCCTAAACTTCTCAAACGCCTTAAGCCAGGTGTGTCCAGCCAGCGCCCTGAATTGTGCGAGAGCCCAGAGTTGAATGAAGACCAGAGCCATACAGGGCTTTGGGTGCAGGCTCGGGGTCTGTAGAGTGTAAGTGTTTCTTTGAGGTGCAGGGTTTCGGGGTGTTTGGAGGGTTTAGGTAAGAGGGACACCCTATGGGTGCTTGTACGCAATTCTTCGGGCTTCACTATGTCGGGTTAGGTGTTGAGGCTCGGGGGTCCCTCAAGCCCTGAAATCTAAACCGCACATAAGGTTAGCTGAGGGAGCTGTCCACATTCGCTGGAGTTCTGATGCCGGAAACTCCGACAATCATAAAAACCGCGTGACAGATCCTGCAAGGCCTCGAGTGGGACATGTCGCGGGGTTGCGGAGTTCGAGGTAGACGAAAAGTATCCGAGAGCACTAAACAAGACACCATCAAAAGCTAGCCAAGCGTGCCCTAAACCCTATAAACCCTAAACCCTAACCCTAAAACCCTACTAGACAAAACCTAAACCCTGCCACGAACAAGAAAGCCACATCCCATCCTGGGTTCAAGCTCAATCTGGGGCTCGGTCTTCCATGCCCTTGGGTTGCACCTGGGGCCTCGGTTTCCTGTTGGGCACAACTCGAGATAACTCGAGGCCTCCCAACGAATCGTAGAAGCCCGATCCTTCGAGGCACCTGCGGCGAAGGTACTGCAGGAGACGAGTGGGGATGATGGGTTGATCTTGTTGTCACTCCAGTTGAGGCTTGGAGCTGACAGACGGGCCCTTTACTGGTACCCGGTACCCTAAACAAACAGGGAGTAGCTACAATCGGAAGCCAGAAGGAGCCCATGGTTTCTCATCACAGATACCTCAAGCTCACCTAGTCACAGCCCTAAATACAAGAACTTGCAGAGATGGCTGCAGGAGACCTGCCCATGTCTGCTGGAGGCGAAGGTCGGCGCTGTTGCTGTGAAAGGGTGCATCGGGCCAGGGGCTTTAGATTTCCGAGTGTCGTTTTGGCAGTCTTTCCGGCACGTTGGGGGCGGGCTGGATTCGCTGAGTTCGCTGAATTTGGATTGGCCATGGAAAGAGCCAGCATCCATCAGGGTTTGGCAAGGGGGAGTAGATGTCCGGAGATTTGATTCCATCTCGACAATCACTGACCTCATGGAAGGTGATGAGGCCTTCCTCAACAAGTTTTCGCGGCAGAATGCCGCTTTTGGTGCCGAGGCAAGCGCAGCAAGTGGTTCTGCTTGATTCGGCTTGGGAGCTCCGTTTCATGAACGTTTGTCGGGCATTGGGACGCCAATTCCATCCATTCTCTGGGTCTCATGTTTATCAGCGGTGCGTCCTTGATTCAACTTAAATACCGTGGGCCGCTCTCCAAGACAACGACAGCTAGTTTACTCAGCTCAGGAAGGAAGCTTCGGCAATTGATAAGCACTTGTCGTGCACATGATCCTAGCTTCGTTACCAGCTCAGCCTGACGGATCCCGTGGCTTCTACTGGTGCACGCCCGTGTGGCAGCTGTGAACATCGCGTCTTGCGCCGTGCACTTGCAAACCACTGCCGACACTAAGCCTGGAGGTCCTTACACTTACCCAGTTTCATGCTGCAGTTCTCTTCAAGCCGGTCGAAGGTCTCTAGCTGGCGTTTGCTCCTTCTATGCCTCTGTCCATAGTGCCCAATGCGAAATGCTAGAGAAAGTCCCTGCCAGTTGGGTTGCCCGGCAATGTCGTGCTGAATCCTGAACACGTAAATTAGATGTGCAACAAGAATCCTTCTGCTCAAGGAGAAGGTCTCAGAACTGTTGCTGTCCATACAGACCTAGGGCGCACGTTTGCCCGAAGCATGAAGCCGCAGGTCACCATGAAGATGACGAAGATGAGGGCCCTTGTGGTGGGCTGCACCGGCGTGGCCGCGGAGGATGGGGAGGGTGGGGGCAAAAGGAATCACAAGTTCTAGGTCCGCAATCCCTGAAGCGGCCCAAGTCCACAGACGTCCTTAATCCAAGCTTTTATTATCTCGAGCCGAGAATGGTTACCGCCCTATCCCTGCAACCCCCCGCCCATGCCGAAGATCGTGAAGAACCTCGTTCTCCAGGGCTTGGGGGGAGCCTGGCCCTCAGGGCACTGGGAAGTCGCTTCAGCGCCCCAGCACCTCGTCAGTGTGTAACTGGTGCTGCCATGGCTTGGGGGTGCACCTACCAGGATCTAGGTCGCAACGTTCTCCAAAACATCGCGAACTTGATTTCAGCCCATCGGGCGGGAGCATCTTGCTGGCTGTGTCTGAATAATTTCGGGTGTGTATGACCTTGAGATGCTCCGCGTCTGCCCATGGATTAGAGAAGAAAGTTCTGCTCACCTTAATCCTAAACCCCAATTAAGCCCTACACCCTCAACCCTATAAACCCTAAACCCAAGCAGCTCAGGTCACGCTGGTCGACAAAAAGCCGGTGCAGATTCAGGCGGGAAATGCAAACAAACTGGCAAACTGGTCCTCAAGTCCCATAGGGCCGTGAATCAAGCTTAAGCCTCGGCCGGACGGCCTGAGGCCTGAGCAGGGATTTTCGCTTGAAGCTCTTGAGTCCCTGGCCACTTGGGTGCTCGAAGCTCTGGCCCCCGAACTTCTGCAGACTCTTATACGTCACCCCGGAAGCCCTAGAGACTATCCCAAGAGATTTTAGGTACACTTAACTCCGCCTCTCAGCACAAGCACATCTTGCCCTTGAGAGTGAGACTATCCCCGTCTTCCCCCGACCAGCCCCAGCCTCCCTGCGACCTGTTCCGCGCGTGCAGGATCTCGGGACGAACTTTTTTTTGTCGGAGGCACTGGATTTGAGGGCTTCTTTTGGCTGGAGAACTCTGATGCCGTCATATGGGTGTCCCTCACACGCTTTCTCCGACGGTGATACGTGAACAGCCGCGTCCACAACAAGGAAGGAGCTAAAAGGGGGGTCTCTTGGGCTGCGATGGTTCACAAAGACGTTGCGGGATGTTGGAGCTTTGGCAAACTCTATCCTGATTGGCTGCAGGTTCTCCTTGTGCATTCACGTCACTCTCGGCCGTGCCTTGAAGTCTACCTTCTTGGCCATATCCAGCTGCAAGATGTTCTCGAGCCTTGCTTGCGCGCTTCGTCCAGGCTGATGTGGGAAAGCCTCTGGCCGCTACGCTCGTGCCCAAGTTCCAGGAGAAGCCGCGGTAGCCTCAAGACTTGCACACGGAGACGGCCACTTGACCGTAATCCTTGTCCTTGTCCTGGTCGGAACCATATGTAGAGCATCCCCACACCCGAGTCATCTTGCCGGCCTCCTGGGCTCCAGGGTCAGGCTTCGGTATGTCTCTACGGAGTTCTCTGTTAGGAGACTCATTCTCTGCGGCTTTGCCGGAGTCTCCGCGGGATTCTTTGCTGAATTTTCTGGCGTGTGCCAGGGGTGCTTTATCGGGAGTCTCTGCGACTTTGGATTCTCTGCACTGCAGAACTGCGGGATTTCCTGGGTGGGCACTCCAAGCAGGCTCCGCAGCTTCTCCAAATGTTTTGCAGTGGGCACTCCAGGAACTGCAGGTGTGCTCTACTAGTCTTTCGGGCCCCACACCGAAAGCGAGTAGTATTAGAGTAGCGGTGCAGCTAGCATTTCTTACAGGTATATTCCGTGCAACGCAAGCAGTTTGAGAGGTACATACACAAGTTTACCTTTTGTTTTTCTGCATGTACATGCAGTAGTATCTAATAGACAAGTTTCTTTTTGCAATCTGTGTCTAACTGTGTATTAAGATGCGCGCACACACACATACATATTATATATATATACACATATGTGAATATATATATATATATATATATATTCACATTTGTATACATATATAGATATAATATGTATGTGTGTGTCTGTATGTCTGTATGTCTGTATGTCTGTATGTCTGTATGTCTGTATGTCTGTATGTCTGTATGTCTGTATGTCTGTCTGTATGCATGCATGTATGTATATGGTTAGCTATGTACAAGCACACAAAGAGCACATGATCTTTGCACTTTTTGCTACCTGGTCACCAAACTCCAACTTTTGACAGCTCCGTGTCGAAGCCAAAGCTCCAAGCTCCCCATGACCACAAGAGCCGCGAAAAAAAGCCCACGCCCTAGGCCGCAAAGCCCGCCTTATAAGCCCTGCCAAGCACACACCCCGAAGCCTTATAAAGCTTTTAGCTTCAGGAGCTGAACCCCTTCTGCGCCATCCGCGCCGAGACCTCACTCACGCCGGAGGCCAGGGGCCCTTCGTTACGGTCTCCAGCTGAATGCATTCCTTAGCGAGCTGAAACCTACATGAATTCAACATGCAGTATCTCTGCAGGTCGTCAGTCAGCACTCCGTTCTGCTGATTTGCGAGAGCATGCCGCTGCCGGATCTCTTGAAGCGCTCCTTCCAGACTTGGAAGACTTAGAGCATTTTGGCTTCTGCTGCTCAGAACCTTCCTGTCGAACCGCGTGAGCTGCCACGAAGCAATGAAGCATTTGATGTTTCCTGCACAGCAGTTCAGCTTGCGAGCGCTGCACATCACGCTGTCTCGTCCTAGAACTCCCATGCCAGGTGGAACGAGTTTTGCCGCACCAGTCAACCAAAGCCTGTTGCGGCCCACCGCTCAGAATTCGGGTACATGTCTTGGCACGGCATCCCAGGTCACTCCTCAAAAAATCCTCAACAAAACACCGGGCCGCCATCTCTCCCTCTTTGACACCTCTCTAATCACCTCGACACCTCCAAATGTGCAGATGTACCACTTTGTACCAGTCCGGTCTCTCCAGTTCATCTACGTGCGCACCGGTGGCGTCTTCGGAAACGTCTTTGTGGACTTCGGCCCCCAGCACGTGCTGATGGATGCAAACGGGCAGGCTGCACTGCGGCGAGTGGCCAGTGTCTATTTTGGCTCTTAGGTTTCTGTCGGGGAACAAGGGTGACGAATCGGGTTTGCCACATTGTTGTGTTGGGGCCCTTGCCAGTTCCTCACTTAGTAATAGAGGCCCTCCTCTTCCAACAGCTTTTCAGAATACGTGGCTGGCCAAACAAGCGGCCCCAAGCAAGCTCCCTAGCGAACTCGCCGCCTTGGCTCAAATTGGTGCGACTCACAGCGTGGAGTTGACTTGGTCCTCCCCGTTGGCGAAGGCGCGGATGCCGCAGTGTCTGGGGTCGCAAGAGGTTCCGCTATAGTCGGGGGAGCCCAGGGAAGGAGTTTTCAAAGCAAGAGGTTGATGAGTGGCATATTCGATCATATTCGGTTAAGCGAGGGCAACATCCTGCTTGACGGGCACGCGTGGCTGAAGAAGAAGATAGCCTTGATAGATCCTCCTAGCCGATCGCCGATAGCCGAAGAAGACCCATCGGCCAACCCTACTAGTTTGAACTTGATTGCGGACAAGCATCTACTCAGCGACTGGTTATGACTGATTCCCGGCGCTCAAAAGTTGTGTCGAATGCTTTGGCGAACTCGTCGTAACCAGCGTTCCTCCGATAAGATCACTGCTTGCCAGGTGCGCCCACAAGCGCCATGGCACTCGCCAGCACAGAGGCCCGCCTGTACATCTATATGGGCTTGACAACTCGCCCTCGTTTACAGGGTTGTGACGGGTTGTGAGGTGGCATTCGGAGGTCGGAGGGAACTGCTGCTGGTGCTGGGAAGCATGGTGCCAGGCTGCCCAACCCGGCCTGATTCCAGGTCGGCCCCTCCACAGTCCCTCACAGCATGAATTGTACGTCGAATCGTCTGATTTCAAAGGCCCCGTTCTGCTACTCTTTGCCCCCGTTGGCCCTTGCCACGCGCCGCGATTCTTATGTGCATTCGAGGGCTCGCTTTTTTGGAGGCCCTCGAACCGCCCTTTTTTGCTCTTCACCCAAACCCGAAAAAACACCTCGTTAAAACAATATGAAACCCCATGTTGCAACCAGTGTAGAACCCCGCGCCTTACACCCCGAACGGCCCTGAATCCTGCACCCTAGGCGGCATTCGTCGCTGCGCCAGTCCGCGTCGCACCTGTGACGTCGCCAGGTGCTCTTGAAGGTTGCCAAAGTGAATGTTCATTCGTCTGCCACGAGCTATACTCCTCAAAGCAAAGCATAGGTGGTGTTGCGATTAGGCGCAGCCAGCAGAAACTGGTGAGGCTGTGGGTGTTGAAGCGAAGTGTCTCCTGAGTGTCAAGGTCGTGCGTGTGGGTCCAGGTCGAACAAAAGTCTTGAGCCTTGATTGTTCGAGGCTGAGTCTGCAAGTCCCCTAAGTTGCCACTAGTACGGGGCGACAGATCGCAAAGGGTCCATACAACACGGTGTTGAGAAGGGAAGGCCGCCGGCCATCCTAGAGACAATTGCAGAAAAAGGACTCGACCCCACCCGCTAGGCGGCAGCCAGCGATCGCAGCCAAGCGGGCAGCGAGGGCAGGCCCAGCTCAAGAACCCCGAGATTAATAAGGGTCCGCTATAGCATGTTATAATGATGTAGGGGAACCAACCCTACAAAGGGACCATGATTTAAAGATCTGCCCCATCGTGGCAATTACTCAACGTTGAGGCCGTCAACGTGTTTCTGGCTGTGGGTACCGTATATTGCAGGTCGACGACTTGAAGTTTTTCTTAAAGAGGCCCGAAAAGCTTCAAGGCATGGGGGTCTGAGATTTGAAGGTTCTAAGATATTAGGGTTCGACTCATCTGGGTTCACAAGCCGAGTCGCTTGTGTACTCGTTACGCTCAGAATCCTATAAGGGGGCTTTGTAGACTTTATTACCATGTGTTTTTTCTACAGCAGCACTCCAACTGAGTTTACTACGGGCTATTAATCGGATTTATCGGGTTGTCGGGTTCAGGGACGGGGTTAAGGAAACATAAAACCTGCCGTTTTGCAAAAGGCCGCGACGTTGGCCCCCGCAGCTGCCGCATTGGCAGGTGGGCGATGGTGCCCTGCAAAGCTGTCCAGAACAGCATCTCTAAACCCGAAACCCCGAAACACAGGACAACAACAAATCATTGCCTCATTCCCCCCCTCCCCCAAAAAAACCCCCAACACAAGCTTAAATCTCCAAAGCCCGCTACGTGGCGAAGGCTGAACAGGATGCCTTTCTTTCACCCACGCGTAGTTCCCCCGTGCCCGGCACGCGTTGTTGACGAAAAAGCCGACTTTTAAATGTATTCTGCATAATTCTGTACCCTATGTGCGCGACGGCGCAAGAAATAGCCGGTGGAATCCCAAAAGGATCCCAACCGCCCAATGCGCTCCTGCCAAGAGACTCCAATACGCCTTCACTACAGAAAAAACCCTCGAAGCCTTAAACCCTGAACCCAAAACCCTATTGTTCTTTAAGGGATCTTGAGGGGGTCTCCCAGTCCAGGGGCTGCAGCCGCCTCTCGCGGCCGCAGAGCGCGGCGCGCTGCGCGGCCGGGCCGCAAGGCACTGGGGTTTTGGGGTTCAGGGTTTGGAGGGTTCGAGGATTGGGAGGGTTCAGGGTTTTGGGGGTTTGGCGGGTTTATACGGTTCGTAGGGTGTATGGGGTTTAATGGGGTTTGTAGGGGTTTATGGGGTTTATGTATGTTTATGTGGTTTTTAGGGTTTAGAGGGTTAATGGGGTTGACATGGGTTTGTCAGGGTTTATAGGGTGTACAAGGTTAAGGTTGTTTCGGGTTTCGGGTTCAGGGTCTATATATAGGGTCTGGGGTGTATAATAGAGTTTGGGTTTGTAGGGTTTGGGTTCAGGGCTTAAAGGGTTTGGGTTTATAGAGTCTAGGGTTTCATTAACACATTATGGGGTTTATAGAGTTTTGGGTCGAAAGGGTTTAGGGTTCAGGGTTAGGGAGGGCAGTATCAACATAGGTTATATTTTCAGGGGCTGCGCCCATGGGCGGGTAGCGCAGGCAGAAGCTCGAGGCGAGTTGATCTCTTTTATACTTAAAGGCTGCCGCCAATGCCGCAGCAAATAGGGAGCGCGCGCGCGCGCCCCTGCGCGCCTGCGCGACCGGATCAGCTGTAGAACATAGCCGGAACGCACGGCTTTGGTGCCGGGGTCAACCCCATACAGGCCGTGAGCTCAAAAACCTCGAATCCTGAATGCCTTAAAAACCAAGCCGCAACCAAGTAAAATGGCAAAACTTGCTTAAGAACCCACCCTCAGACACGCCATGGTCCTTGCGGCCTGGCGCGAACCGGTGTAACACGGGGTTTATCCCGTGCTAGCCGAACTACCGTAGCACAACAAGGCCGGACGGCAGCGCCGCAGACACCACCCATTTTCGTGTTCTTTTTTGCATAAAAATGGGATAGCCACGGACCACCCTCAAAGAGCGCGCATCATGAGCATCAGCGGCCGCAGTGCGATGCGGGCCGCTCATCAGGAGCATCAGCAGCGGCCTTGGCTTCCCACAAAAAGCACGCATCATGAGCATCAGCGGCTCTAGCCTTGAGTCATTGAGTCGCCAGCCTGACATGATGGCCCATGGGTAACCCTGGATATGGCTGCTTTGCTTGATTACGAGTATCCACGTCACAGCGGGCACACCAGAAGCAACTCTGCCGAGAGGGGGCAACCCCAACACCTTTTACTCGATAAGGAAGCGGGCATTCCGCAGAGCTCGTACCAGAGCTATGACACATGGAGGCACATGGTATAAAGGGAAATGGCACACCCCTTCGACTCTAGGTGAGTTTTCACTGACGCCAACGGGGGTCGGCGGATAAGTAGGGTAAGTACCTCAGAAACTATAGAACTGGTGAAAGCCTGCTGCGATCTAGAGCGACATCTCAAACGCTGAATGAGTTTGCTGGGTGACAGCTCTGGCCAGGCATTCGGGAAGTTTATGAGCAGCGTCTTCCCATGGCTGGATGACGGGAAGAAGCAGGCCCATCCTGTGTCAGTTGCTTAACCAGCCCAAAGAATGTCCTGGCAAATAACCGCGGCTAGCAAAGGGCCGTTGGTTTTACCAGTTGTTGAGGCGGACCCTGTGCAGTACAGGCCATACTACTATCATGTGCGCTTCGCAAACGGCAAACGGCAGACGGACTGGAACCACAGATTTTTCAGCAACTCACTGTGCTGCCTCACTTGCCCCCTGGCAGTCTTCGGGGAAAGGGGCCGGAAAGCCTTCGACGACCTGGAAGGAGTTGCTACTCCTCAAGGACGCGTGCCACATAGATCGGGATGTCTGATCTCGGGTTCGGGTTCGGGTTGCTTTTCAGACCAACGCATGACGACTCCTTTCCCCCCCCCCCGCCCCCCATGTTGGCAGGGTCCCCCCGTCTCCCTGTAATGTTAACACGCCTCCGCGCCGAAAGCGGCTTGAGCCCCGACGCCCTTAACGCCCCCTCCCAGCACTGTTAGAGGGGTCCAAACGCCAAACGGTTCTGCGAGCCCTGCCAGAGAAGTGCGTCTTGCCTTAAGCAGGGTTCCCAGAAGCTGGGAACGTATTACGTGCCCTACTCTAGGCTACTTTGCCACAATGCTGCAACCTCTTCAAGCGCGAAATTGAAAGCTTCACCTGTCGGTTCTCTTGCTGTGCCATCAGCTCTCTTGGCAACCTTGGGCGTGATTCGACTGTTTTGGCGCTCACCGACACTGCTTCATGTTGTGCCCGCCAGTTTACCGCAGACGCCATGCTCTGCCACAGGACCTGGGCTCCAGCTCATTTGACAAGGCGAAGCGTTTGCCAAGTGAAGCTGTCCAACTTAATCGACCCCCAACCCTTGCCCTAAGCCTAAGCCGGGCCTACTATTCAAGACTCCTGGCTTCTGATGAACAGCACTTTATGGCTGTCATCTCTGAAACAGACAGAAGACGGAGTTTCGGTTCAAACTCCTGCCACACAGGCCTTGCAAGTGAACCTCGACAGTAGCATTTACGGCAGCTTCGCGGAGATCGGTG